TCTGTATTTCCCTAGGATCCACTGTGATCTCACCCGTTTATTTTCCTAATTGTGTGTATTTGAGACTAAGGATTTATCAATTATATTTAATCTTTCAAAGAACCAACTCTTTGATTAATTGACTCATTGTGTTGTTTTTTTCAGTTTCAATTGCATTAATGTCTGTTCTTTATAACTTCTTCCCTCATACAAAGGATAAGCCAATGCATATCAGTTATAAACATCAATATAAATTGTCTCTATTCACCAATCAAAAGAAACAGACTGGCAGAAAGGATCAAGAAGCAAGATCAGACAGTATGTTTCACACAAGAAACACATTTAACTCAAAAGCTTAATAAACACATAGAAATTAAATAATATCCTTCTGAACAGCAAATGGATGATGGAGGAAATAAAAGAAGAAATTAAACAGGATTTACAAATAAATGACATTGTTGAAAAAACATACTGAAATGTATGGGATCAGTGAAAGCAGGGTTATGAGGGAAATTTACAGTGGTGAATTCTCACATCTGGAAAACAGAACAAGCTCAAATAGACAACATTGAATCTCAAACTTCTAGAAAAGAACAACCAAAGCTTGTATGAGGGAGGAAGTTATAAAGAATAGCCTGTCCTCCAGCTCTCTTACTGGCTCCAATCAATCTTATATTTTTCTTCCTTACTTTACCTTGTACCTTTTGGATTGATTTTTCCTGTTGTTTTGCTATTTTAAAGATACCTTTCTTGCACTGGTCACTCACCACAGTGCTGTGAGTGAAAGTCTTCTAGATCTGATATTCTATCTTTGCCTTTGTCCAATCAATTGTGCATACTTCTCATGGAATTTTGAATCTTGTGGCTAACTTTTTGGCTCTGCTCCATGGCTTTCTTTTCTTCCCTATGTTTGAGCTATGATGGTTTTCATAAGCTCTTAATTTTTTTATATGTGCCTACTCTAAATTTGATGTCAAGGTTGGGGAGATGGCTCAGTAAAATAAGTGCTTGCCTGGCAAGCACAAGGGCCCGAGTTCAATCCCCAGTTTTGCCAAAAATAAATAAATAAAAATAAATAAATAAATAACTTTGATGTCTTTCATTTTCAACATTATTCTTTTTTTGCTTGAGAGATTATTATTATTTTTTTTGTCATCTCTTTGACTTCACTTTAATACTTATATCCACACAGTTTCATTTGGTCTCTATAAGTTTTTATGTTTTTTAAAATTAAACACAGGTTATCAAGAAATTATAAATGAAAGGTACACATTTAGTACTGAAGAAGAGAAAAATATATACAGAATGTCTAGATTCTTTCTCTTCATGCACTATTTTGTAATAACACCCAAATACCAATTTAGAAGTTACTTATGAGGATAAATTTTTCTTAACATGTGACCATTTACTGTGTGGTAATTTTTTCATAAGCCATATACTATAATGTAAACTAAATATATTCTTATAGTTTACAAGAAGCATAGAGCAATTATATACTAACAGCGAAGATGTATTTTACTGCAAAATATAAAAGTGATACAGTTGTGTAGCTCTTAAAGATTAATTGAACAAGGGAATGAAAAACAAACAAAATCATCAAGACAGGCCTGGCTTTAAGATTTTTTGTATTTAATTTGTTCTACTTTCACATCATCTCCAATTAGCTGATAGATGTAAGTGAC